ACAGCACCCCAGTGTGCCTCTCACTTCTAGCTGGTGAAGGGAGGGGGCAGAGGAGTAATTCACGGAATCCAAGGACTTTCCCCTCGACCCTTGAGGCTATGTCGAGACTACGCTGAAGCTTCGAAAAAGGATATGCAAATTCCACATGAACTGAATTTGCATATCTTCTTCTGATGTCTCTTTTGAAAGTGAAAGTAGTTGGGACGCATTTTTTCAGCAACCCCACCCTTTTGAAAAACCACGTAAACCTCATTTTTTGAGGAAGATCAGCTTTTCAAAAAAAGTGGGATTGCTGAAAAAACCACGTCCCATCTACTTTCACTTTTGAAAGTGGATCTTTCCAAAGTGAGATCAGAAGAAGATATGCAAATTCCATCCTCTTTCGAAACTTCAGCGTTGTCTAGATGAGCCCTGATAGTCAGGGGAACAGGAAGAAAAGCATGCCACATCCTGGTATGCCCAGCTGCTGCCCCCACCCCACTCTCCCGAAATGGCATGTGAAAGCTCAACAACCAAAAATGGGATTATAAAATGAGGTTTTAAGTTTCATGGCTTCATAATGGGTTTTCCCCCCTTTCAACTTAAAACATTCAAGCTAGAGTTATAGATTAGAGACTTTTTTATGTGTGTACTTCTTCCAGAAAAATAGACATTATAGACTAGAAATTTAGTTGTAATGTACTGTGAATTAGCGAATATAACCTGCGGATTGTCCATGTTTTTACCAACCACAGTCTCCCTCCCCCCTCGAGGTATACATGTCTGCGTCTTTTGCAAGTTGATTTTTCCTCATAGTAAAAGAAGACAAGACCAACATAATAAAATCAGCATCTTCGATTTAATAATAATTAAATTTAATAAGAGCGGTAGTGTTGTTGTATTTACTAAAATACAATAAAAGTTAAAACATTATTTACTGTAAAGCTACTAAAAAAATATTAATACATACGATATTGCAGTTTAAAAAAAATCCATTCTACGTATTGTTATAAAATAAATAGTATATGCTGCATGCTGAATAAGTTTATTCTGCATCACTTGAGTCATAACTAACAGCATCCTCCTCAGCGTCTGAGTTTTCAAACTTTCATCATACTTGCTGTCTTGAAAAAATCCATAACTTCAGCTAGGCGTGCCTCGGTGATGGTTGAGGTCTGTGATGCTGTGTCAGATTCACTCTTGTAGTCAGATTCAGAGCTAGACAAGTTGACTTCCAGAAGAATTTCACATTTACAGAATCCATTGTGAATAGTACTGTAGTCAGTGTTATTCTTTCCCAAGCTGCCAATACCCATTTGCAAACTTCCATGTAAGTTGCACGGTGTTGTTGACCTGCCGGAGTGAAGATGTTCTCCCTGTTTGTCATCCAATTGTCCCATTCCTCACAAATGAAGCAATTGAATGTGTGGTTGACAGCTACACCAAGCAGTTACAACTTGCAGGTCAGTCCACCTGGAATTATGGTGATATGTGCTCCCATGGCGATGATACGTTTTTGAACCGAAGTTTTACGGGCGGCCAAAGCATCTAAAAGTAGCAGAGATTTGGGATTAAAAAAATCTGCCTTTTCATGCACGAAAGCAGCTGTCTGTCCACGTCTTTATCACCTCAGTGTTCATCCAGCCCTTTTCGTTACAGACCACAGAAACACCGGCTGGTAGTTTTTCGAGGCATCATCACCCTCTTAAAAATTACCATCGGTTTTAATTTCTCACCATCTGCTGTGCATGCCAATATGACCGTAAACAGGTGTGTTCATGTCCAGTGGTTGCTACACCGACTGTCTTCATTCCAGTTGCTGCAACAGACTGAGTTGTAAGTCTATCAAAAGACATGGGCACCTAGTCCATGTTAATGACGTTATTTGGTTTCAGGCCCAGCTGAAAATCTTTGAAATCATCTATCTTCTTCTCCCATTCGTCAGGAAGCCGTTGCCCAACACTTGTCCGTGCTTGAACTGAAAGGTTGTTTCATCTCATAAATTTGTAAACTGAGTTACTTGAGCCTCCATGAAAATCATCGATTTTCATCTCCATAGCCATAAGTCGAGCCTTGAGCTTTATGGCTACTGTTAACACCACATGTTGGCTATCTGTGCAAGAACCCACTTCACCAGGTTTTCTTCTAGATTTGGCCACTTGGCTTTCTTTCCTCGGTGCACTATTTTGCAAGGATTTAATTTCTCAATCTCCGCTTCTTCTTTACTCCACTCATGAACAGACTTTTCATTAACAGAAAATTTTCTGTTTGCTACTCTATTGCCATTTTCTTTTGCATATGTAACAATAGATCATTTAAAATTGGCTGTATATGCTTAGGCATCTTTACAAATATTTTGTTGGACTATATTTGTTATAAACTGAAGAAGTTTTAAAACGTTGTGGTTGGTATGTCTTATATATCGGTAATAGGGTAGTGCTTATTGCTCAGTGGCCTCAGCTGTGGTCATTACCAGTATAAAAAAAATCCAGTATTATCGAGTGATGTCATAATCTTCGATCTTTATAGCTAGCAAATGGCAACCGTACTAAAGACCACCTTTTATGAAGGCAGCAGAAGTCTCTGAGGGTTAAGTGCATCCGCGGGTAATCTAATATTTTTTTAAACATGATAGAAAAACTGTGGGTAATATATGAGTGCATGTTATATATGGATGCGTGTTATATTTGCTAATTTATGGAAAATATCTTGATATTTTAACCAAGAGAAACTCTGCTGCAAAAATCCAAACAAATGAGTGTAAAAGTTTCGGAAGTTTGATTTTCTAAGTGGAAAAATTTTGGTCAATATTATTATTACTACTTTTTCTATAAGTCAGAAATTTCAAACCTAGAAAGGATCTTCAAAAGTTAAAGAGGACAATTTTTCTTTCTGCTTCTTATAATAACCTGTTATGTACATGCAAACTGTTACCATGCCTCCTCTCAGCCTCCTCCTCTCCAGACTAAACAAACTGAATTGTTTCAATCTTCCCTCATAGGCCCTTAGACCTTGTTTTCTAGACCATAAATCATTTTGGACTTTCTCCACATCTTTCCTGAAATGAGGTGCCTAGAACTTGACACAATATTTCAGTTGAGTTTTAAGCAACACACAGTGGAGTGGAATTACTTTTTATGTGTTGCTTAAGACACCCATGCTAATACATTCCAAGGTGGATGTGTCCTTTAACAAAACAATTTTATCACCCTATTACAGAGGGAGACAGATGAACTGGAGTTCATTTACAAGTTCAATGCCCTCAGTTTAGGCTTCGATAAATGTCTTAACTGGTTAATGTGCTACAAAGGCAATTTCTCCAACTTTGATATTTGCATCTCCACATCAAATAGTGTGAATGAGACACATCCATCCAGACTTAACTAGCTTCATTAACACTGGTCCTAGAACTGACCAGTAACTTCTTTTTGCTGTTATATATGCCCCAAATTCTGTAATTTCCATTTCAACTCATCTGATGACGTGGGTTTTACCCATGGAAGTTCATGACCCAATACATTTGTTAATCCTTGAGGGTATGTCTACACTGTGGCACTATTTCAGGATACTTCCAATATCGCAAAATAGCATTTTCTGCATCTTGACAGCACACTTGTTATTTTGAAATGTAATCGAAATAATGGGCATGATATTCCGATGTCCTGGTAAACCTTGTTCCATGAGGATTAAGGGAATTGTCAGAATAGCGGTCTATTTCATAATTTGGTGCTGCGTAAATATCACCAAATTTCGAAATAGACTATCTTGAAATAAACTTGAAATAAGGAACACAATTTATGTCGATCAAATTGCGTAGCTTATTTTGAGCTAACGCTGCAGTGTAGACACACCTAAGGTGCCACAGGACTGCTTGCTGTTTGGTCAATGAGAGACCACCTATAACTTCTGTGTGCTTTGGATCAACGTCTATATTGTAATTTCTTATGGCACCAGAGTCAGAAACTTGCAATAAAATTTCCATTGACTATACTGTAATAGGACCAGGATTCCACCACAGGAATCTCTAGTTTGTTATGGAAACCCAAATTCTTTGCAGAACTGTACTGTACTGCTGCTGCATGGTTGGGCTAGGTTGTAGACCCAATTAATTAAGTACATTAATTACATTAATTATTCAAACCAATCAATTCAAGCCAGATTGCTGACTCAATTAATCAAATGATTTATGACAAAATACATTTTCATATGATTTCATTCTTATGTAACTTGCAGATACTTTATAACATACCAAAAACGTAGACAGAATGGATCTGATGCTGGAACTAAAGGCAAGCTAAAAAGTCGAACTCTCTGCTGTCTTGTTGTAAATCCTATGGGTGTTGAAATATAAAATCCTATAAAACAATAAAAACCTTTCATTTGGTATCAAGTTAATGAAGGTTGAGGATGACATTAAATAATTTTGGTCAATAAAAATCTGGTTAGCAAAAAATATCATAAGCAACAGTGCTAACTGCACATAGAGCTAAATATGTGGGAAGGCTGGGGAATGTCATAATAGCAGGTGAAAATGTGAAGTTATGCTCATTGGCAAACAGTAGTTTTAAAACATTTATTTTAATGGATCCTTAATCTGCACAATGACTGACGAAGGGTGAAAACCTGGCCCATTGAAGTCAGTGGGAGTTTCACCAGGCAGAGAAGGATTTCACTTTTTGGATTTATAGTGAATGAATTAAAGTCTACCCTTATGACAGATATCTGCAACAGTTACCCATATGACCTTAAGTAGGTCATCTAGTCCAATCCTTTGCTCAAAGCAGGATCAACCCCAACTAAATCTTCCCAGTCAGGACTTTAAAAAACTTGATGATTACCTGCTCTGTTCATTCCCTCTGCGATACCTGGCAGGACCACAGTCAAAAGACATTGGGCTAGATGAACCTTTGGTCTGACCCAATATAGCTATTCTTATGTTCATATAGCTTGAGTCCAGCTTATTAAGCATATCAAATTGCTCTGCATCAATAACCTGTCCTCTTCATTATTTAACACTCCCCTATTTTTTGTCATCATATGTTTATATCAAATAGAAGTAGTAGAAATATGTTGAAATAATGGCACTACTGCACATAAGAACTGTCCACTCATATTTAGTGAGGTGCAACAGGAAAAATCTACAATACATGAAAAATTCAGAGTTGAAAATCAGATCCAAATGTACTAAATGACTGTCATGTTCTTGCAGCTGCTTTGCTTTGCAAGATTTGAGAGTGAAAATAATATACTGGTCTTAAGATGGCTTAGGGAGTGAACATGTATGTACTACAGCCAGATGAATACTTTATACTAAATAATGTATTAGGCAAATTTGTTTCTTCTTCTGTAAGTAACCAGTATTTCAACAGATTGCAATTTTCTGTATTTAATTCATCATAGCTGGATAAATTTTGAATAATTCTCAGTCTGACAAACAGTTTGTTTTGACCATTTAAAGTGAAATTCAAACTACATTGACTAGCATTGATTGGGCTGACAGGTTATATGTTCTCCCTTTGAATAAGCATAAACTTCAGAATCAATTTTCAGGGATGAGTTTTAATAATGATGATTTCAAAATTTCCAGACCATGAATATTCTCTCTCTGCTTAAAATTCACTTTTTTCATTTGGATGTTCCTTCTATTAAACTCTTTGTCATAACAGTCACAAAGGGTGATTTGTATTTGTTCTTACCTGACAAGTTGCCATACGTATGGTCATAATCAGGGCCAGACATAAAAGGAAAAGTAGGACCACTAATTCTCTCCCATTCACCATCATCTTCTAAATCTTGACTCCAATAACAAAAACTATCCTCAAAATTGCAGTTAATTTTCTCATTATCTGTGAATATCAAATAAGAACGTAAGACTAATGATTTAATCAACATATAAAACTGTGAATTGCTATGAAAAAATAAGAGTTAGAATGTATGAGTATCCAGGAGGACTGCAACATATGACCATTTTTGATTCACTTCCCTCAGAAGAAACATTATAAAGTTGAAACCGTGTACAGTTTGAAATTCCCTAAACTGTGTCTTGCTGGCCTGGCAACATCTGTGGTTCCACAGAATCACCGATGTTCCTGAGCCAGAGAGCCCAATGGCTGGGAGTTGGGCAGCTGGGAGCTTTGGGAGCACAGTGGGGCTTGGCAAGGGAGTGGGGGGCTGTGGCAGCCCAACAGCCTGACAGAGTGGCAGCCCAGCTGGGGAGCCGGGGCAAGGCAGCATGGCAGCCCGGCAACCCAGCAAGGATTTTGGGCCACGGCATCACTGCAGTGCAGCAGAGGGGCTGTGGCCCCTACAGTCAGGCAGCTTGGCAAGGGCGCTAGATCTGGGGCAGCAGGATCCAAGCTGGGGTGCTGGGGGCATGTCAGCCCAGCAGCCAGCTAAGCCGCCAGCCATAGGGTGACCTTTTGGGGCCAGAAACTGAGCTGGAGGTGGACTGGGGGCCAGCAGCAGAGGACCTCCATGGACTAGCAAATTCCCTCATGTGGTATCAGTCAGGTTGCCAGGGTGCCAGACCAGGGAGGTCCAACCTGTATATGTTTGCCTCACAATCCTAAACTCTTCAGTGGATGTCAGTATATCCATGAAGTTGATCCCTAAATGTCCTAGGATTCTTTGTTAAGAATTCCTTTGATGCTCCATAGGTCAACAATGATCCATTCCTTGTGTCCACTCCGGCATCGTTCCTTTTGCAGGCTGCTTTCCACTCACTCCTTCTGGCTTCCAAATTCTTTTTCTTTCCCACAATATCTTGTTCAGTAGGAAGGGACTCTTGTCTTCTAGCCACCATGCTTTCTACTGCAACTCACAACTTTTGCAAGGTTTCTAGAGCACAAGAATGTTGGCCAGCCAGTGGCCTTGTCTTACCGTAATCTCCCCCAGGGTCACTCCCATTACTCAAAATATGCTATCATAGACAACAACCACCTGTTCAGCCTATGCCTAAATTTTCTCCTGACTATCTGGAAACACTTAAACTTAACTCATGTTGTCCTTCATTTGTCACAAACAGATTGGCTACATTCAGATTTTCTTCCAATATATATCTATTGATTGAAGCTGATATATTCCTCTATTGACTTTAACAGTTCTAGGACCATAATTCATTGTAATGAGTTAAAACATCAGTAACTCCACCATTTAATTCACCCCAAATGTGAGCAGATACTGAAGAGGAAATGGGAATTAATTTCAATGATTTTGTATTGCCAGTTCTTATATATATTTTATGACATATTTTCTAAAAATGTAAACCAGGCTTTAATTTGTATTAAACTTATAATATACAGAATACTACAACCAGTTCCTCATAGGCTACATAGATACTGGTCAATGGAGCTTTGAAGAAGCACAAAGGTCCACAAATATGGATCCAGTTGCAGGACTGAGCCATAAAATGTATCCATTCATTGCTCTCACCATCTCCACTTTTTATTTTTTTGTTGAGAAATAACAAAAGGACAAGACACTTACTGCTTAGTTCACTGGTATGAAATGTGGTATATGTTGCATTGAATCCATTATAATTTTCAGAATAATCTGTAATAAACTCTGCTGTAGCCTCATCAGAAAAAATGTAAACTGTTCCAGGATTTGTCCCCCAGAGCGAAGCTAAGAATGAATACATACATACATAAATAACTGTCAGCTACCTGAGGCAATTCAATGTCACCTAAAGTGAGTGGTGCTATTATAAAAAGAGAGTGGCTATTTTTTTCAATTCTAAATAAATCTCTCTTTACAGAAGTGATGACTGTCTAAAAAGCAAAAATAAGCATTTTTGTAATTAGCTAAAATATAATTCTTTTATGAGGTAAAGCTTTGTCCTCAAATCTGCACATCCTTCCAACTTTAACTTTAGCACAGATGCCAGCTTGTGAACAAAATACATTTTCTTATATAATGACTACAATTAAACTATGGTTATGCTTTAATTATATTTTGTAATATCTAACTATTTGCATATTAGCTCTTCAGCTCCATACTTATTCCCTGTAAATTTTCTGGAGTTTGCGCATGCTCAAAAGCCATAACACCAGAAGTTTGAATACTTGATTTCATTATTTGAATTAACCTACATGGTTTGGTAATTAATACTTGTATTTTTAGAATCAAAGAACTTAAAATACATTGTGATTACTTTGTAATTTTATTTCCCTGCACAATTCATAAAAGTACGAAATATAACATAAAAGCAAATAAGATTCTAATGAAAAGGAAACCTCCCAACATTTCCCCTAAAGATGTATCAAACTTCTCATAAAAAATAGAAGTTACTTAAATAGGTTTATTTAGGAAAAATAATGGTGGAATCCCACTTCTTTAAAATGGGACACAATGGTAAATAGTATGCATGGTGATATTCTGATTTATTTAGCCCATAAGCCCAATAAAATGTACTCTCTTCTTAGAGCAACATTTAGCAAGTTACTTTAAATGAGTAAGAAAATATATTTAGATTAGAAATCTTCAGAGAAAAAACTTAATCTGGACAACTATTTGAATATATTTGATCAGGGAGCCAATAGCCACTCTGGGACCATGGGAAAGTGGGGGGTGGTCCCATGCTTCTTGTAGGAAGAGGTGAGTCCAGGGACAGCCAGCCTTCATCACTGCCTGGAGTGCACCATGGTAGCTCTTCCAGACCTTAGAACCGTCAGAGAGAACCATGTGACACTCTGGTAGTGACTCAAAGGGCCTGGGGCTCTGGGTCCTTTAGATTACCGGGCACAAGGGCATTTGCTCCCTTTGCCCTCCCCGTTGGCAGTCTCAAATAATAATGTCTGCCTTACCTCTTAAAATCTTGCTTGGTCCTGTACCTTCATAAATGTTTAAAATGTCTGTGTATTGTTGGGTATCAAAGGAAGTGAAGTTTAGTTTAATTGATAATCCATGATTCGTGCTAATATAACCAAATAAAAAAAGAAAAGAAAAAAAGGGAAGATTATATGATTATTATATTCTCTTGGACTTTTCCTTGTCTGTAGTAAATAAACGAGGTGTATAAAGGCTGCTTAATGGATAATTCAGAACGGTTATGGGAACTGAATTATCAGTTTTTCTAATCTGTGATAATCTTGGTGAAATTTTAGATGAAGCATTACTCTTTGTATGTGAGCACAAGAGAAAAGACGGGAAGCCTCTGCAACAATGGAAACTTTAAGAAGGATAGGATATAAAAACACACCTCAGTTAAGCAACTGCTTAATTGATTATCCATACCACCAATTTAGGGTATATTTAAATTTTGATAACTTAATTGAAGAAATAGATTTGAGAGATTAATTTTAATTTTATATAGTCTTATTAAAAATTCTTACCAGCAGCAATTAACTCTTGAGCATATAGAAAGACAAAACTAGTGATAAAATGGTTGATATTCAGGTTTTCAGAATGAAATTAATCTACATTAGAAAATAATATGTATCCTTAATTATTATCTTGGGAAGGTGAAGTTTACATATTTGACCAGGAGTCCCTCAGCATGGGGCCTCTATCATTTTGTTATCACATGAGATAATATAAAGGGGAAACCAATCCGAAGTGGGATCACAATACAGTTTGGTTAGTTATTATTATAGCAATTTACCAACATCTCCTTCCCAATGGATCTATAGCAGTCAACCCTTATTACCTATTTCCCAATGAATTATATTAGTCCTAGGATCTAACTAACACTCCTACCCATTTTACAAATTCAATACTTTATGACAAATTATATAGACTGGGTGCAGAATGAAAATGTTTGGTCTCATTTTGGGTCCATATACAACAACAATTCAAAGGCAGTGTGATGGCTTCTAATTCGGGCGCGAGCACTTAACCCTCTCGCGTTGGGGTTACGGCCCTGTGTACCCGCCGTCTGTAAGTTAGTTTGGGGTGTGACGGCTTTTAGTTCGGGCGTGATAGCGCAACCCTCCCACGTCGGAGTTACGGCCCTGCAAGCCCGCCATCCGTAAGTTATTTTGTGGTGCATACAGCTCAGTTAAATCAAGGAACTGAGGGAGGGGAATGGAGGCTAGGGGGACCCGGGCCCTCCCTCTTCACCGGGTCCCAGCCCAGGGCCCTAAGGGTTTGGGTCTTTTAGCCCTTACCTGGCTAACGGGGTCCCACCCCATAATGCGTCAGCCCATGGGCGCCAGAACGTCCCTGCCTCGGGCTGCTTCCTAGCCTCCCCCCCGCCGGTCTGGCAAGACCGTGACCTCATGGCCCTTACCTCCCCAGCGGTGGCCTGTGCCTGTCTGCCTGCGTCCTTCTCCAGCATCCAGGACTTGCTCCTCAGCCGGGGTGGGAGGGATCGCCTGTCTGGCGTCTTTCCCCCTGCTCTGGCCCCGGTCCTGGGCTTAAATACCCCGCTGGGGCTCACATCTTCGGTGTCTGCCCCGCCCCTGATGTTGCCGGCCCTCCTACGTTGTGGTGTGGGAGGCGGGGCTATGCGCCAGCTTGCCCCCTCCCCGGCATGCTCGGGCTTGCCGGCATGGCCAGGAAACGTCGCCTGCCCCTGCCCCTGTCCCTGCCCCACGCCGGGCATGGGGAATGCAGCGTTCCAGCAGGGACTCCGCAGGGGCATGCCACCTGAGTTTCCCGGGGGGGTTGTTGCCGCGGCTCCCCCCCGAGTGCAGGCCGGGGTTAGACCGTCACAGGCAGTATGAAACCATTAGAAACAGTAGCTAAATACACATTTTTTACAATCTTAGTAAACAACAGAAATTCTTATTTCTAAAGCTATTTTACAATAATCTTTAATGGAATCTATTAGAAAACAGGGACACACACTGTAACTGACAATCTTTAAAGCACATATACAAACAAGCATGTACTTCCTTATCGAGTAGGTACCTAGTTTCAGAGAGTGGACAATTGACTCATTTGGTCATCACCTAAAAATGTCTGTATCACCTGATTTTTGCTTACTGGTCACATTTTAGTTCAGTTATCATCCACAGTAGGTGTTCACCTTGCAAACACAGAACAAAAGATAGGCACTACTACAGTGTGCTAGTAGGCAAACAGAATTTCTGGAAAAGAAACATTCAGTTTAAAACCTCTATCTGAGATGGATATTTAATGTCACCAGGAAATTCCTGATGGCTGGTCCAGGACCTTAGTCTTATCTGTTCCAGATGTCTTCCATTTCAGGAAGTGATGTACTGAAAGAGACTGGCACTTTGATCTTATTTCTATTGGGAACAGGGCCCTTTTATCCCATTTCTACTGGATGGTTCAACTTTATCCCTTTTCTTGGCGGTGCTAGAATGAACCAGTAGACAGTGACCCACCCATACGACTGAAGATGTGAACCACCAAAGTGAGAGTTGTCTTTTCTCATCATCCCCTCAGGGAACAAGATCTCAGCTTTTGTAGTTCTTGCAATGGGGAATGGAATTTTTTAGTGTCTTTATGCAACATGCTTTATTACACCAGTTTCTATGCTTTATTACACAGCAAGTTTGGCTATAGCTGTTGGTCCAACCATCTTGAGACATATTTCAAATACTACCTAGTTTGCTTTGGGCAGCAACTAATCGCAGAAAGTTGTTTTTTGTGAACCCCTTTGCAGTGCATCTTTGGCCTTTGCAGTTTTGCTTGCTCACGTTGCAGCTTCTTTAGCAACTCTCCGCTAGATGCTGAAATCTTCTAAGTTCATATGATTTACCCAAAGTCCCTCCATATTCTTTAATACTGTTAAAACTAGTTATAACTGTCCATTGTACAATGCAAAATCAGTTCAAGAACTATTGTTCTCCAACAGGCCACAACAACTCTATAAATCGTATGAGATCCTGGAATATATGGCTGAGCTGAATCCATGCATTATATATTACCAATTACATTTCTGAATATTCCACTCTGTGATGAAGTGTCCTTATAAATGCATTGTTCATGTTCAATTTCATTTTATTTACTGCCTCTTTCAGTACAGGTGTATTTCACTAACTTGACAGGATAAGCATGCTTGATCGCAAACATTAAGCTTATTGTATCACTTAAGCTAAAGTAGATCAGTATGAACAAGTGCTGCTTTCTTGCCTAACAATACTGCCTGTCGATAAACCCTTTCAGTAAATTCTGAATTATTTTGCCCAAAGGTGTGTCACCTACAGTTGACTTCCCTTTTGTGTGCTTTTTAATAATAATAATAGATTTAATAAATTTTCATATTCACTGATGTACCTGGCATGTAATATAATATCAGTGTCTGACATTACATAAATATTTATTTCATTCATTCATTCACTGACAGGAAAATGGGGATGTCTTTTTAGCTCCATCAACCATATAGCTTTGCAAAAGGCTGCATCAACTATGAGTTTTCTCATACCATTGAATAAACCTAGCTGTTAGATTTTGAGTTTTATTATCTTTGCCACAGTTCTAAAAGGCCTTAATGCTTAGGAAAATGTATATATGGTGATAATTCATAACACGCTACGTCTACACTGTGGGTGTTTTGCAGAAGAGGAAATGCAAATGGACCTCTCATTTGTATATCTTGTGCTCTCCTTTACATATGTTCTTCTGATCCTTTTTGCGGAATAGGTTTTTACGATAAAAAGCCCTGTGTAGATGGGGCCATTTGTTGAGAAAAAACCCTTTTGCGCAAGAGCCCGTAAACCTCCGGAAGAAGATATGCAAATGAGAGCACAAGATATGCAAATGAGTGTTTCATTTGCATTTCCTCTTTCGCAAAACACCCGCAGTGTAGACATAGGCTCAGACAAGAGTAAAGATTTCCGTATCTGTCATCTAGTCCATGCTCCCATCCTCCTTGTTGCAAAACAACAATTTAAATTCAGAAGAACTGGGGTTGTCCAACATATCAGTTGGCTGTACACCTTCATTTCTAATCACCATACAGCAGTCAATTGTATCAGTTCAATATCACAAGTGCTGCACCCTATTTCTCCATCACATTTTCCATACTTTTTCTAAATGATTCTCTCCATATTCTCCCCATCAGAAATATATGGTGATCCAAGAGTCATAAATTCATTGCCAAAATCTATTCATCTTTCCAATAGATCTATTACTGTGTCATCTGAAGAAGTGTCTTGTACCAATGAAAGCTCATGATACCATCTACATTTTTGTTCATCTCTAAGGTGCTACAGAACCCTCCACTGTTTTTTAATTTTTTTTCAATTACAGTAGACTTCCGATAACCCAGAACCTATGGGACCTAGGTGGTGCCGGATTATCAGATATGCTGGAGTATCAGGAGGTACTATAAACTGGTTATGTATATACTGTATACAGTACATACTGTATATAAAGTGTTCTTAACCCTTTTTATTGTACATACTGTATACAGTATACTGTAATGTTTTAGTTTTTTAAACCCTTTTTTACCCTTTTCACTCAGTTCAGCTGCTGCCGCTGTTACCTTGTGACTCATTTTTGGCTGAAGCTCAGTCACTAGGCTCTTGCCTTTTTGATGCCGGACTATCAGGAGTGCCAGACTATTGGATGCCGGACTATTGGAGTTTTACTATACTGTGTTGTTTTTTATGGTTGTGATTCCCAGTAGAAGTCCAAATACAGATTAAAAAACAACAGTCTCAGAACCAGTTAGGAGATACTCATGGAACAAGGTTTGTACAAGGTTTGATACTCATGGATACAGTTTGTAATCTTTATTATTTTTTTCTTTTGTGGCTGTGCATAGGTAGAAACAGAAATGTATATATTTATGCAAATGAAAAATGATGAATGGTGTAAAAAGTAAATAGACTTGGGAAGGGCTGCTTGTGTAATTAAATATGATAGAGGGGAAATGATCCCACTGTTGCTGTCACATTAGTTTTGTGCTTTTGGTTAAAAAAAAAGGTGACATTATGTCTTTGTTCAGGAAAGAAGTAGAAAAGGGAGCATGGAAAATGTCTTTCATTTGGGTCACTGCTGAGCTTTCTGCTTACCTAGTACAGAGGGAAAGGATAGGAAAAGATCAAACCTGATTGTGCTTTAGGTTGATATTTCTTTAAAGTTTTTTTTTAACAAGAATAACATAAAATGCATCCCACTGACAGCCAAATTCAAAAGACTCCCTAAAGAAACAACTTCACTCTGCAGGAAGACTGTGCCAGAGTTAGGAGATACCCAGCTGACCTTTTCAGGCTTTCACAATAAGTGCTCAGACTTTCCTGAGGCAAAGAACTGAAGAATAAAACTAGACAATTATTTTTCCCATTGAGAAACATGTAACTACACACATTTGCTGCATCATTACTGTAATGTTGGACATAGTAGATGAACATTTAAAAGTCCTTTGCCTGGAGTGTGTGGCATCCAAAGGTCAACCCCAAGATACAGGACAATTCCTCTTATGTTTGCATGCTATCTGTAATGCTCCTTTATCTATCAATTCACTATGCAGCACAAGCCCAACATTTCATGACAGAAAAGTGCTCGAGATCTGCTATGTAAGGGCTAGGTATTATTGTTAGTAATAATTGATCAGGTGATTTTGATTCACATTAACAACAGGGGAGTATCTTAATATGAAAGCATTCTTGTTCAAAACTAGTCTGACCTTTATGGGATGGTGTCATGGGCACCACTCACCACTGGGGCACCTATTCCTCATCACTCTGGGGATTAGTTCGTCCAGAAGCTGTGCTCATTGCTGGCAGGCTCTTTCACTTGTAGCCCCCATCATTCCAGTAGCTGCAGCTTCCTCTTTGTGACTTAGCTCTTAGGACATCAACTCTTTCAAGGCAAATTGTCCAAGGGAGTCTGCTAACGACTGCCTGGTCTGCACCACTTCCGCAGTGGCTGGTAGGAGAACCTAGGCCCTTCCTCTGTTCTAGGTTCCAGACCAATTCTGTTCCACCCTGGACCACACTGCCTTTTCCCTGAGGCTTTGCTTATCTTCTGGCTTTCTCCTCATTTCCCTGTGTTGCCAGCCATATATCTCCCTCCTTCCAGGGAGTAGCTATAGGCTACTTGCCTCTGTACCTCGAAACACACCTTCCTTCTTCCTACATCCTTGCATCCCCTTTCTGCACTCAGCTCCTATGCTTTATACAGATCCTGCCTGTCCCTAGGGCAAATCTGAGGGTGGGGTGAGGTAGGAGAAGGAGGGCCATTTGGCTTGGGCCTCAAGGTTGAAGGTGGCCTCAAATTTATGCACTTGTTAATTTTTTGACAAGTTTTGCAACTTGCTTTTATGCGCATCCCTATCAGACCAAAATGTGACACACACTCTCAGCTTAGAGCTGCAAATTTAAGCAAATAAGAGATGTGATTTGGTAAAAGATTATTTTTTGTTAACTGGTATAGTTTCTGTCATATTAAAATGTTCGTAAATATTAATAAAATATATAGTCATTCTGATGGCACAAGATTAGACCATAATGAACTATGGGACAAGGGCATTTGAATGGGCTCCCCATGCTTAACATCAACTATGACATTGTGCAAAAACTAGAGTTTTTCTCAATAGCTAGTGCATCTGCACAGGGGAAAAAAAGGCTAGAAAAGCATTTATTATATAAAAATATTCAAATTATGTCTCTCTCTCTCTTTTTGGTGCCTTATTATATTTTCACATGTTGTCATTTTTTATTTTTATTATGGCGAGGGGCCTCAGAAACTGGAAGTGGCTCAGGTCTCTGGACCTCTGAGAGGACCTGATTGTCCCTGTCCAGCTGAGCCATAAGTAATTAAGCCATTCTCCCTGGTTCCTCCTCCAGCTGTTGCCTAAGCAGCACCTTAGCTCTCATAGTCACATTAACCCCTTCAAGCTTTGTCTGGGATGGACACCTCATAGTATATAATAATCATGCAGCACCTCATTGATTTTGATAGGGGCCTTATGCCTGATTTAATCTGTTGTGGATATGGGGGCCATATTTTTTCCATGTATTTAAAGAATAAATGAAACACCACTATATTTTTTAAATTGGGTGGCTACAGTGTGGGGTCCTAAACCCTTTTTTAGGCACATGATTTTCAAAAGTGCTGCGTACCTATCAGTTTTCATTGATGTCACTGAGTAGTCTCGGGAGTGCTCTAGCTTTTTATTTAGATGCCACCCAATTTTGAAAATCTTGGTACCAAATCACTGTCACAGTGATTCTCAACTTTTCCAGCCCCCTTGGGTACATATACCACTGGATGAGAACCAGTGCTCTAGGGTTGAGTTACCTCTACTGCAACTTTTGAAAGAGTTTAGCATATTGTCCCATTATTAGCCTACATGGAAGTAGCATAATTCAGACAATTACACCATGCTTCAGATTCTGGGAACCTTCATGCTATGAAGCAAAAGTCATCATGCATATGACGGTAAAATCTGACCCTTAGGATATAATACTCACTATATCTGATAATTAGTGTTTGCCAGCAATTATCAGTAAATGACACTGAAGGTATCAGAAGCTGAAGAGGAATGAACGTGTTTACAAAAAGCAAAGCATGAGACTTAAATGTTATGCTGATTAGCTAAGCTGAAAGGGCACGTTAAAGACCTGAACTGAAAGACTGAGATTTTCAAAGGAGTCTGTGTGATTTTAGAATCCCAAATCACACTGAATTTCAGTGAGACTTGTGTGTCTAGCTCCCACATTAAGAACTTTCATTGACTACATGAGGATCATAAGGCTGCCATCTTTTACAAAGCCATAAGAAGAATCTTTGCCTATGACAGTACTTTTGAGTGTCCCACTTGGGTAGATTTTCAGAAGCATCTAAGGCCCAGATTCTTGAAGATATTTAGGCACATAACTCCTGTTGAAATCAATGGGAGTTAAGTGCCTAAAAACCTTTGATAATCTGAAACAAAGTTTGGAAACAGAAGTTTCATTGATTTCTAGTAGAAACTTGTACTCCTAATTCCCCTAGGCATATCTGAAAATTCCACTCATCAACAACAGTGTTATCTCTTTCAAAACTATTGCTATGAACATAATAGTTCTATGGTGTGGGGAGTCAACTGAGTGGCAAAGCATCCAAATTATCCATGAGCAGACAACTACAGTAGACTTTCCAATAATCCGTCACCTTTGGGACCTAGGTGGTGCCAGATTACTGGATATGCCGGAGTACCAGGAGGCATTCTCCTAACCCAATCTCCCTGCCTCCATCTTATGCTCGGGTCCTGAAATCACCAGTACAGCCACGCGTCTCCCTCCAGGCACTGGGGCATGTGCACTGAGCAGCCGCCATTTCAATGAGCTGGCTGGGATGCCGTGTTCAACCCAATCCTGCTCCCCTTCCCTTTTCTTCCCCAGAGCCAAACACCTTCCCTCCCTGCTGTTACCCAACCCCCTTCTCCCCCAACCTAATGTCCGGGTCCCAAAGTAGCTGCCTGTGCTCAGTGGCCTGCTGTGCAGGTTGGACGCTGTGTGACCGTGAGCGGACTGGAGACCGTGAGCGGAACGGTGCGGACCGTGAGCCTGCATGCGGCTCACAGAGGCCCGGACATGAGAGTGGCTGACCTGAGCAGTTCTGGGTTCCAGTTGATGCCGGACTATCGGGAGTGCCGGACAACTGGATGCCGGACTATTGGAGTTTTACTGTACTTTCATATCCAGAAATTCAGTACCCAAGCTTCTTCATGCCATCACTATAATTTCATGCATCAAATATCTTAAGTGAAAAAACTGATGGCATATTTTACTCTGGAAGTTTGGGTTGAAGTTTCCTTATTTCAAGGAGAGCTGTGTACATAAATGGAAGAAATTTCTATTTTACATTTTGCATGGACATCTTAACAAAGAATGCAGAATACAAAGAATAAGTTCTGATACAGAGGAAATGAGCACAATTTACAATCAAATACATGGTAAGTAATAACATGTTGTGAAGCTGCTTACCGTATAATCCATTGGCAAACGATATTTGAATTATAAGGCTTTGGATAATTAATAGAGTGGAAAGACCCAGAGGAGCCAGTCAACATAAATTTTCCATCACAAGTTGTAGCTGTAAAGAAATTGTCATTATTTGTCATTGTACAATATGAAATTTGAAAGCACAGGTAGTACTAAATGAAACTGGAGCAAGAAACAGGCTTACATCAACAATTTTGAAAATGTATTATAAGGGAAAATCTTGTAGGTATGAACAGGGGGATAAACTAAATAACACAATAGATCTTTCTTATATCTAACTCCTATAACTGTAAGATTTACCAGTCCAAAACTGACTTTTTTTGTTTCACTGACATCTCATGGAAAAACACAGTAGTCGGAGACAACACTGCTTATCTAGCTATTCAGAGAGAGAAACAGCAACTTTCCTTTAACGATCATATTTCTTATTGTTCATTCATTCTTGAACTCACAAAATATACCGTTTACATCTTTTAAAAAATCAGCAAATTTAAGCAAAAACACAAATGCAAGAAGCCAAGTAAGAGCACATGAAAATGGACAAAGTTTTACGTTTGCACATTTTGAATTTCATAGAATATTTTTTCTAAAACAGAGGCGTTTTTCAAACCTTACTTTAAATACCTTTTCTGTATTCTCAGTAACACGGGGATCATTTTTTAAAACAATGTGTTTTCTCCTAAGTTTTCCATTTACTGTTTAGATATTTTACTTGCAAAATAGACAGGTACTATATTTTAAGTGCAATGACACATATTACTCAGGGAGCAAGAGAAAGGTGGTCAATTTGATACAGACCATAAGAAGTTATATATTGTTAGTAATTGATTTATTATATGGGTGTGGCTATTCTCCCTTTATTCTTAATAATGAGCTAAATTTATCAAGAGCCTTAAGATGTGGCATTTTCTTATAGATGTTCAGCAAAAGAGATACTAACCTTGTAGAGTTATTGCTCCATCATGCCATAATGACTATGGCAAAGTTTGGCACACGGTTCATTTGTTCAACAATTCCCTTTGTCTCCTCCTCCATCAACATTTCCTTTATCTGCTCTCTCACTATCTACCCCAAAACCAACTTTCCACATTAGAGAGCTTGGGACTTACTATAAGGCTGTGTCTTGACATTGGGGCAATTTCGGGATACCGAAAGTATCCCGAAATAGCAATAGTGTCTTTAAACACGCTCATTTTGAAATATATTTCAATGTAACCGGTGCACTACTCTGGTGTCCTTATAACCCTCATTCCACAAGGGTTAAGGGACTTGTTGGAATAGTAGATTATTTCCAAATTTGGTGCTGTGTAGATAGCACCAAATTTCGAAATAAGCTATTTCAAAATTACCTTGAAATAAGCTATGCAATTTGCATAGCCTAAATTGTGTAGCTTCTTTCAAGATAAGGGTGCTGTGTAAATGCACCAGAAGTGGGCTACTTAATACAAAGGCATTAAGGCAACAATGCACTTATCCAAATATTTCCCCAATGGTCACAAAGGTTCTTGTGTAAAGGTACCGGCAGAAGTCTAGCTGAAGAGGTCTCTTTAGATTTCTCTAGCCTCCTCGCTGGTGGTTCTGTGCTGCTCCAAATACTTCCCTTCTAAGAAAGGAGGCACCTCTGATCAGGGCAAGGCAGATACTGAACTGTCATTTTGACTTCTTTTACCTCATTGCTGGAGCCTTTGGGCAGCTCCAGCTGTTTCCTATGCAGGGACAGAACAAGGTTGTTTGGGTCCAACATGGGGTTGGCAGGAGATGGTCCTTGTTTCTTCTCCACCACAGTAGAATCCGGTCAGCACCAGCCACTTGTTTTGGGGGCTGGGAGGATTTAGGATTTAATCCTGCTCTGATTTAAATCAATGAACCTATGTCTACACTACAAGGGTCCACACCTGCAACACGTCCATACCTCAAGCACTTTTTTGCACAAGTAAATTTACAGTAAATCAAAAGAACAGAAGGGTTTTTGTGGTTTAGGTATACCTCTTTCTATGAGGAATAACTCCTTTTTGTGCAAGAGTTCTTGTGGATAGTCAACAGGGTATTTTTGCACAAAAAGAGCCAATCGAAAAAAGCTCAGGTGTTTTGGTGGCTATTCTGTCAATAGCAATCAGAGCTTTCTTCCATGCAATCTGGATGCTTCGCTTTCACAAAAAGCACATCGCTTTTGTACTGTGGACGCACTTGTGTGCAAGAAGTTTTTGAGGAATATCTCTTCTGCAAAAAGCTTCATGAACAAGAAGTCTACAGTGTAGACATAGTCTGACAGAACCAGCCTATCTTTTTAATGTTCAGAGTCCTTTATCTGCCAGTGAATGTTTATTTCCTCACTGCTAACTTAGGTTAATCTCTTTTAGCAAAATAGCAATGCTGTGAAGTAGGTTTATGGTGGTAGATAAAAATAGAGTTATTAGTGCCTGTTATGAGAAATAATGCTTCCAATAGATGACCCTCCAGACTCCCTTTTCCTTTCACTGATGTGCTAAACTGCTGCTTTTCAAACAAAACTGTTTATTAATAAAAAGTAGTTTAGGCTTTTCCACGTTTTCTGGAAACCAAACTGCTATTTTTAATTTTTCTTCAGTTTTGCCTATTGTTGCTACTGCTCATAGCAGAACCAGAAAGAAACAGTTCATAGTACTTTTATTGACAACATAAGAAAATGGATGTATTTTTCATCATCTGTTGTCTGAATTGCTGCTTAAAAGCTTATGGATTTCATTACACTCTGTCAAAGTCAGGAAGAGACTGTAAGAATTCCACCTTTCCTGTAATGTATCTATACATCTTTAGCATCTGCTAAATTCAGCAACACTAGAGGAAGAAATAGCCGAGGAGGGATGTGGAAACCAAGTTTAGTTGTTTAAAGGAAAATAGCACTTTTTGTGTGCAAAAGCACTTGCAACAAGAATTATAAATAGGCTATAAATCTCATTGTAAAACTCTGGGGCACTTCTGAAAAGCCAGACAACTTTAGCTATTATATGGCCATATTAAGTCACTCTGGGGGATGGGACAGGAGTGAAAAATCAAAGAAGTGGAAAAATTGGCATATCTCCCAAATGTGCAGATGGCTTATTGCCATTCTCTACACAGGCTCTGCAAATGTTGCTAAGAAGACTAAATATAGAAGCCTGCAAAAGCTCTTTACTTGGGACCATAAGATTTAAGATTCAAAATCTAAAATACGGGTGATGGGCTGAATAACTTGTTATCCTGATGGCAGGCTTTTATATTCCCCAAGGCTGTGAAAAAACATCCTTCAGTGAAAATGTGACCTGAAACAAACAGGTTGAATGCTTGATCCACCAGGGACAAGTTAAAAGGATTTTGCTTCGTGAATGCTCTACATCAAGCTTCTGTGTAACAGATTGGTTTATTTCTTTAACTGTAGCAGGTAGAATACTTTGTGTTATGACATGGAATGTTTATACGCTGTTTCACACTTTAGCTAAATCATTGGTAGGTGCTTTTCCATCAAATAATGTTCTGAGTCTAAGGTCCAGTTACACAAACTTCTGAATTCCCTCCACTTTCATTGATTTCAATGGGAGTTGATGGCTCGGATAAACCCTATTTAGTTTAATTAGTAGTGAAATGCAAGATTAAAGACTACAGGCTTCTTTCGGAAGAAGCTTTTTTTGGAAAAGATCTTCTGAAAAATCTTCTTCCGAAAGAAAGCATCCACACTACACAAGTGCATCGAAAAAGTGATCAGCTTTTTTGAAAGAGAGCATCCAGACTGAATGGACACTCTCTCACATGTAAGTTCTGATTGCAATGGACGGAATGGCCACCAGGACACCTGTGCTTTTACCTCTTTCCTCTTCTTATGAAAGAAATCCCTCTTCCCCGTTTACACACGCCTTGTTGCAAAAGAGCTCTTTCGCAAAAAGGTTTCTACCTAGTAGAATGAGGATTACCAACTCTGTTCTTTCAATTTTCTTGCAGAAGAACACAATTGCAGAGTGGACGTTTCTCAAGTTTTGTCAAAAAAACAGCTGTTTTTCTGACAAAACTCTGTAGTGTAGACATACCCTGGGTGTGGTGGCTTTTTGTTGTTTAAAACTGCTTTTATTTTCTCTATCACTTTGTTCCAATTATTGAAAAACCCTACATTTTCCCCCAAGAAAGTTATAGATCACTAACACTGGCCACAGGTTCTTGAAATGAGGACATTCTAGTGCTTAAAACCCTGATAGATTTGTAGGGTGTAAAATCCCAGGGCGGGGGAGTATACTTCAGTTTTGAGCTAAGTGTGGGGAGAGCAGTGAGATTCCACCCTGAGATAGGTGCAGACAAGGGACCAGACAGACCAGAAAGGAGGCAGGCATATCACTAGCCCTAAAACAAGAGTAATCAATGATCTGGAAGGGGCTCAGCACCATTTGAGATCAGGCCTATTCTTCAGACATTCATTAGTCATTTTTTGCACTATTTGATCAGTTCCATTGCAAACATTCTAGTAAGATAGTAACCAGACTTGAGATAATAAAAAAGAGATCTATAAATTGCCTCAGTGCAGTAGAATCCCCTTGGTCAACAGTATTGAAAGATAATTGAGAACAGAAAGCAGTAAAAGAACATCAGATTGAACTGGGATACCATTGTCAGTGATCACCAGGGACACTGTTGTACTGGTTCCACCATAAAATTAAGATACACTTAAAAAACAAGTGGTCTGGTAGCACTTTATAGACTAACTAAACATGTAGATGGTATCATGAGCTTTCGTGGGCACAACCCACTTCTTCAGATGATGGGAGTTTTTTATCAGAAGGTCATCTGAAGAAGTGGGCTGTGCTCACGAAAGCTCATCATGCTATCTACGGCTATGTCTACACTAGCATGATTTTCCAGAAATGATTAAAACTGAACAGTTTTCCATTATAAGTATTTCCGGAAAAAGCATGTCTACATTGGCAGGATGCTTTTCCGGAAAAGCACTTTTTCCGGAAAAGCGTCCGTGCCAATGTAGATGCGCTTTTCCACAAAAAAGCCCCGATCGTCATTTTCGCGATCGGGGCTCTTTTGCCGAAAAGAAATCTGTGCTGTCTACAATGGCCCTTTTCCGGAACAGTTTTCCAGAAAAGGACTTTTGCCCGAATGGGAGCAGCATAGTTTTTCCGGAAAAGCACTGATGATTTTACTGTAGATCATCAGTGCTTTTCTGGAAATTCAAGAGACCAGTGTAGACAGCTGGCAAGTTATTCCGGAAAAGCAGCTGATTTTCCAGAATAAGTGGCCAGTGTAGACACAGCCTACATGTTTTGTGAGTCTATATAGTGCTACCAGAACATTTGTTGTTTTTTAAGTTTATCCTGTACAGACTAACTCAGGAACCCCCTGAAGTTTCATAAAATTAAGGTTAGGGCATCTTGAAGACGGGGTATGTGGTTCTGCAGCTGCACAGAAACGTTGTTTTGAAGTACTTTTTGATAGCACAATGTTGAATAGTATTGGTTAATTATTTGACAACAGCTTTTCCATTAGAAGAATGTAGCAGGTTTACACTGATTCAGCATTAAACCATACACATATTCATAAAAATATCAAATCAATCTAAAGTGTCATACAAGATTTCCTTCACTGTAAAAATCTTCTTGGATGCTATATTTCACTTCTAGTGGGATTGGTTTGAAAGTTATGTTTATTACTTAATATGTTGACAGTTACAAGCAGATTTAAAGATTGATTGAAAGCTTTACATTCTTACCACATATACTGTCAATTTCATCTGAACCATCTGGGCAGTTAGGTAGTCCATCACAATATAGGTTTTTACTTATGCAGTTTATGGCATCAGCACAAGATTCCTCAGAAGGTAAACACTTCACTGAAATAACTGTAAAAAAGGGGAGGAAAAGGATTAATAAAAGAAATTTACATTACAAAGGAAAAGTGACTTGTGTTTGAAACTCCAGCACAACCCTGGTTACACATCAGGGGTGTGTGTGTGAGTTGTATGTCTAAATTGTTTACTGTATTTTTACATGCTCTAAGTAAAAAAAAAAAAAAAAAAAAGTCTGAACAAACACAACAGAAACGTGAAGAACATTGGTACAAAAGGGTAAATATGTTCAGAAATGTCAGAACTGAACATTCACTAAGCTCAAAACTAGGACTCATGGAAATTTTTGGTGTCTTTTTTATTTTTGCAAAATGAAAAAAAGATCATTTTATTTAATTCAATTGGAAATTCATTTTTTCTACTTTCACTAATGGAATACAAATAAAATTTTAAATTCCCACATTTTGACCAGCATTACTAAAAAAACCTTTTTCAGGTAAAGTTTTAGAAATATTATAAATCTCTGAGGGAAAAAAATCTATTTCTGTGCAACTTTCTGGACAGATTCTGCAATCAGGCCCTTGTAGCATCACATTAACAGGAGTGCCCAAGAGTATAAGAGTGTCTCACATGGATCTAATTGCTTGATAGAACCAAAGAGTGCAGTCCATTCCACACTTAAGTGAATAAGAGTCCTGCATATGGAATGGAACCATAAGACATTAATCATTTTGAATAAGCATCATGGAAGAACATACCTCATGGGATGAAGATGGGGAGAAGAGAAACCACTCAGTTCTACCTACATTTTCTTTTGCTTTCGTTAGTAAATACATATGAGTGAAGGTAGATAATCTGACTTAAGAAAAAAAGCAGCAAAACATAAGGTTGACCACACGGGATCAAACATGCGGTCCCTGAAGTTCAATATCTTGTCTTTTGACAATGACTGGTGCCAGATGCTTCAGAGGGAATCAACAGAACAGGACACTTAAGGTATGTCTACACTACTCCGCTAGTTCGAACTAGCTGGGGTAATGTAGTCATCTGCAGTTGCAAATGAAGCCCGGGAAATTCAAATCCCGGACTTCATTTGCAACTGCGGATGACTATATTACCCCCGCTAGTTCGAACTAGCGGGGGTAATATAGTCATCCGCAGTTGCAAATGAAGTCCGGGATTTGAATTTCCCGGGCTTCATGCAAATGAAGCCCGGGCAATTCAAATCCCGGACTTCATTTGCAACTGCGGATGACTATATTACCCCCGCTAGTTCGAACTAGCGGGGGTAATATAGTCATCCGCAGTTGCAAATGAAGTCCGGGATTTGAATTTCCCGGGCTTCATGCAAATGAAGCCCGGGCAATTCAAATCCCGGACTTCATTTGCAACTGCGGATGACTATATTACCCCCGCTAGTTCGAACTAGCGGGGGTAATATAGTCATCCGCAGTTGCAAATGAAGTCCGGGATTTGAATTTCCCGGGCTTCATGCAAATGAAGCCCGGGCAATTCAAATCCCGGACTTCATTTGCAACTGCGGATGACTATATTACCCCCGCTAGTTCGAACTAGCGGGGTAGTGTAGACATACCCTTATTGAGTGATTCACCTTGTCATCCAGAGCCATCTTCTGGGAATCACAGGTTTAGGGACACTATGGCTATATGTACACAGCACCGTTATTTTGGAATAAGTGACGTTATATTGAAATAACAAAGTGCGCATCTACAAACAAGCAGTTATTTGACATAATGTTGAAATAATGTCCAGCTGGAGGACTTCATACTCTGACTCCTGTAACCCTCATTTTATGAGGAGTATGCTAAGTTGGAGGAAGAGTGCTCCATTTTGAAATAAGTACTGTGTAGACATGCCCCAAATCGAAATACACTATTTCAACTTAAGCTCTGCAATTCAGTTGAGTAGCTAATTTTGAGTTTAGCCCTGCTGTGAAAATGTGACCTGTGAGCAGTGGGTTGCATCCTTGACTATTTTGAGCTAATGGCCATTCATAGGTCTGTCTATGAACTTTCCTAATTCTTTTTTAGAGCCCATTTATACTTTTGGCCTTCACAGCATCTAGCAATTTGACTGTACATTGTGAGACACTCTTCTTTCTCTTTGTTTTAAACCCATGCCTATTCATTTCTTTGGGTGATCCCTGGCAATTTTGTTATTTGAAGAGGTAAATAACACTTCCATATTCACAGTCTCCACAGTTTCATGATTTTGTAGACATCTTTCATATCCCCTCTTACTCATCTCTTTTTTTAAAATGAATGGCGCACATGCACACACGCGCGCGCGCACACACACACACACACGCGCACACACACACACACATATGTATATTTAAGATGAGGTGACCAGAACTGCACACGGTATTTCAGGTGTGGGAATTCTATATATTTCAGGTGTGGGAATTCTATATATTTAGTTAGTGGCATTATGATATTTTCTGTTTTATTATCTATCCCTTTCCTAAGGATTCTTAACACTGTTAGCTTTTTTGACTTCTGCTATATACTGAGCAGAGGTTTTCACAAAAGTATTCATGATGACTCCAATGTCTCTTTTTTAAGAGACAGCAGATAACTCAAACCTACCATTTTGTATGTACAGTTGACATTTTTTCCAGTGTGCATTCATTTTCATTTATCAACACTGAACGTCAATCAGCTGGGAGGCATTTGAATCTCTCTTGGTTGGCCACCCAAATGTTCATCTTAGAGGGGATACTGTTCACAGTTGATCCTCTTTTCCAGATCATTTATGACCATGTCAAACAGCCTGGATTCCTCAGGGGACCTGGCTATTAACTTCTCTTTGCTATGAAAACCAACCATTTATTCCTACTCTTTGTTTCCTATCTCTTAACTAGTTACTGATCCATAACAGAATCTTCCCTATAACCCCTTATGGATGCTTACTTTGCCTGACAGCTTTTGGTGAGGGACTTTGTCAAAAGCTTTCTGAAAGTCCAAGCACACTATTATATGGGATCACCAAAGTGTGCATGCTTGTTGACACCCTCAAAGAATTGGATTGGTGAGGCATGTTTTTGCTTTCCAAACTATGTTGCCTTTTCCCCAACAGATCATTGTCATGCTTGTGTCTGGTAATTCTGTTCTGTGCTGTAGTTTCAACGAGTTTGCCAGTCCTTACCAGCCTGTAATTCCTATGATTTGCCACTGGAGCATTTGTTTGCTATTTGTTTGTTATATTACCCTGCTCCAGTCATCTGCTATGCAGACTAATAAGCAATAAGCAATAAGTTATATACCACAGGTAGTAATTCTGCAGTCCAGATTGGAGTTTCTTCAGAACTCTTGAATGAATACCATCTGACCCTGGTGACTTATTACTGTTTAAAGTATCGGTTTGTTTCAAGATCTCCTCCATGACACCTCAGTCTGAGACAGTTCCTCAGATTTATTACCTACAAAAATAATAGGTCTTGTGTAGAAATCACCCTTCCATCCTCTGCAGTGAAGGCCAATTGAAAATAATTCATTTAACTTCTCTGTAACAACCCTATAAATCATATATTTGGAATACAAAGTAAAGATGTAAGAATGAAAAGCTGCCATTTTGTACTCAAGCAATAGGCCACAGTCTTCATAGTTTTTATAACATACCCTGTTTTGTGCAGAATGGAATTTTGGCCAGGACACAGCAAATATGTAACAAGAGTTCGAATTTTCCCCAGACCAACTACCAAGGATAAGTAGAAAAACCCCAAACATAGCATTCTGTCCAATGCACAGCACCTTTATCATTCTCCATTGAAGCATCAGCAAAGGTAATGACTACAGTCTGGTGAAATGCTTGAACCTAATGCATTCCAGACTCAGGCAATGACCACCAACAAAAGTACACCAAATACCCAGAGATAAGTTTTGGGTGAAATTAATACACAATAGAAAATCGTGTGTTTACAAAGGCTATCTTCAACTCCATGGTTATTGTTATCCAGAAAATCAAACTGCACTGCCATCTTCTGGACACAAGAAAACTGATATTTGTATTAAAAATGCTTTTTCTTTTAATTTTAAGACTAAAGAACAAATTATCTCTAAATCACAATCCATAAAGAAGTATAAACCACTACATGTAAAACTTACATATGCTTAGACACATCTGAAATATGTTTATTTTTCACACTTTACACTAATTAATGATTCTGGGAAATATTTACAAAGGTACAAATAACAGATATGTACTTAACTTCCCCTGAAAGACAATGGGAATTAAGCACCTATCATTTGAGTTCTTCCCCCTGGTCCACAATTTGCAAAAAATAGCTTTATTAATCCAACATGAAATATTATAAATTTCCTTTGTGGTTAGGGCCTTTACAGTCAATGGGATCTCTGTGTATGAAGTATTTGAAGGATTAGGCCCTGAATTGACACCAAAGTCTTCTGTGTAAAACATCACTGTTTTCACTGTATACATGTTACCAACCTGAAGTTGTTGAAGAATTGCTTGTAGTGAGTTGTTCTGAATCTACATAAACAAATAAAGCTCAAAATTAAAACATTAGAGAAGCATATTTCCTATCTCTTAAAGGCCTAATAAAGTTCTTCCTACTATTGGAAAAGTATTAATTGTTGCTGTAAAGAATCCCATATTTGCTACTCAGAATTTTTCTGAGTCAAGAAGTGCTACCGTCATGTCTCAAAACTCCAGATCTTGGAGTTAGGTGAGAAGCTCAGTTTTGATTTTGTAAATAGGTATGTTTCTGTTGCTCCTGCCTTTGTGGAAAAGCTTGAAAATATTAAATCTAATGGGTCAAAAGACCATAACATGAATCCAAAAACATAAATAATCCAACATATATTAAAATGATCTCATTATATAGGTATAAGTGAAGAAAGAAAGAAAGAAAGAAAGAAAGAAAGAAAAGGTTCTTCCATTCTAATCTGTAAACATTCTAGTATGTAGTTTTATTTATGGTTCTCAAAAAATCTGAAAAGTTTTATTTCTGAACTTTGGTTATCAAAATCTTCCTTCTAACCTTCCCAACAATAGTCTATGTTCATAGAATCAAAGAAGAGTAGGGTAGGAGGAGACTTCAGGGAGTCATCTAGTCCAACCCTAAATAAATCATCCCAACCAGGACTTTGTCAAGACAGGTCTTAAAAACCTCTAAGGATGGAGGCAACTCTATGTTATAAATATAGACATCTTCTTCTTCTTCTTCATGATTTCATAGATATTCCCAACTCTTCCTGAATCATCTTCTTCTTTCATAAACCTTTGGCTGCTGTACCGACAGAATGTCTTACACAAGCTGAATATCAGGCCTTACATTTGTTATCATGTGCACACAAGCTAACTTTCATTTACAAGAAGCACTGACCTGTTGATGGTAGAGGTGGGCTTGTAGTCAGCGTTCCAGGAGCTGTTGTAACAAAATGAAGTAAAGTGTAAACTATTTGTGTAAATTACTTTGGAGTTTTACATTAATGTAGGAATATCTCAGATGGTTGTACGTGGCTCTCCCTGTGGTTTGTAAATGCTACTTCTAGGTTGGCTAAAGGAAATCATTTGTGAGCTGATCAGAGGTTATTGATGTCAAAAGATATTTAGGTACCTATCTCCTTTATGGATCTTGGCCTTCTTCTGATTATGCAGCAACCATTGTGCCACACGTAGGAGGCTGCCACCACTTGCCTCTGGATGCCTGGGCTATGCCAGCCCTACCTGCACCCTGCCTCTTTCCTTCCCTCATCTGCCCCTTTCTGAAGGCCCTCACTATCCACCACTGCCTGGTGAGTTTCTCATTGCTCCTCTCCTCCACTCCACCCTTCACTCCAGAAGTCCCTTCCATTTACTGTACCCCCTATGTTCCAACCCCTGCCCTGCGAGCCTCCCACTAACCTGAATCCTTTGTCTTCTCCACTCCTTCCCTATGAGACAAACCTCACTATTTGCTGTGTCCCGCACAAGACCACCCCCACCCACTGTTCTTCTGGTCCCTCCTCACCCATGGAGTGGGGTGGAAAAGAGGGATGTATGGAATAGCAGGCAGAGGAGAAGATAAATGCAGTGAGTAGCGGAAGGGGGCAGGGAAAAGAGGAAAAGAGAAGAGTTATATCAAATGGAAGCACAGGGTGGGGGAAAGGGAGGGTCTGAAGTAAAATGGGGGTGGAGTATGAGCAGGGCCATAGGTGGAACTCATTTACAAGAAGCACTGACCTGTTGATGGTAGAGGTGGGCTTGTAGTCAGCGTTCCAGGAGCTGTTGTAACAAAATGAAGTGACGTGTAAACTACTTTGGAGTTTTACATTAATGTAGGAATATCTCAGATAAGTGTGAGATTGCTTTTGACATCATGTTCCTCTGAGCCATTTGATGTTTTCCAGTGCCCTCTTGCTGATTCACCTATGCCGCTTGTAGCTTTTCCTCCCAATCTGTGAGCTCACCAAGGATTCCAAATCCACATTAGGCCCTTTCCCATCTCTCTCTCTCTACCTCAAGCACACAAGTTCCTCAATCCCTATTCTTTGTCCCCTTCCAGAAGGATTTTGTAGAGAAAGCATGTCTTTATCTTTGACTGTCAAGGGGGACATATTTCTAGTAGCAATCTTGAGTCACATGTCACTATTTATATCACAGAACTCCTTGAGGTCCCTTGGTCTCATAAGACAATACTTAGAATTTAGACCAGTTAAATGAGCTGAAATTAAAATGTGGTGTGGCAGCAAGTTTTCAAATTACTTTCTATCACTATAGAAGCTGTGGAACTATGGGCAAATCACTTCATCTCTGTGCCTGAGTTTCCTCATCTGTAAAATGGAGATGATGAGACTTTTCCTGGCACGGTATGTTAAGATTCAGAATATTAAAGGGTGTATCCAGACTATGCTAGACTTTTGAAAGAGAATATGCAAATTCTGTGGGAATTTGCATATTTTCTTTCCAGCTCACTTTTGAAAGCAGCACTTTCAAAAGGAAAGTAATTAAGATGCAGTTTTGTCGGCAAATCCTCCCATTTGTTGAGAAGTCAATTTTCCTTAAAAAATTAGATTTACGTAGCTTGTCGACAAATGGGAGGGTTCGCTGACAAAACCGTGTCTTAATTACTTTCACTTTTGAAAGTGAGCTCAAAAGAAGATATTCAAATTCCCACGGAATTTGCATATCCTCTTTCTAAAGTCTAGCGTAGTCTAGATACACCCAAAATGTTCTATACAATTGTTATTCTAATTATTAATTGGATGCTCAATTCTCAATATCACATTGTTGCATGTGTCCTGGAAGAATAACTGTTGATGCATTATTTTAAATTAGACTTGTTAATGTCTCTGCAAGAAAAAATTGGTGACTCCACAGTTAGCAAGTAGATATATCACCTTTTAAATTAACAAAATTCTACAGAATTTCTGGGATTTAGTGGGCCATCATTTCCCACAATGATGTGCTGCTGCACAGAACAACAATTTATAGATGGAACAAATAGTCAAGATGAATAATGATGAATTTAGTTATTGAATACCTAAAGTTCTTAACATGTGCTGTGCCTTTAGAATATAGAGATGAAGAGACTACACGCCAGATGTCTCTCTCCCCTTATGAAGGCAATCAGTAGCTACTTATTAGTGTTCCCAACCTAGGTTAAAATGTTAGCTAATTAATTTCCACTTCAAAGTATTCAAATATTTTTTATCCTCTTTCTCATTGAGACTCATTTCCAAACGCATTGAAAGATTCCCTCTGACTTCACTTGGGTTTGGATCAGGTTTTGATAAATTATCATTGCTCGTACAGCTCTTTCCTCTGGATCCCACCGTAATTTTTTAACTATATATAAGTTTTAGCATCACTTCATCTATTTACTGACCATTCAGAGTTTCTCCTTTCTAGTTAAATCCAACTGAATCTTCAGAGCCGTTTTTAGTGTTTGTTTTCCCATAGATGAGATCCCACTTTCAGCAATGATCAAGATAAATCACCTCCCTTTCCTTTATCTACCATCACAGGTAAGGGAAAACAACTCACTGGGGCTACGTCTAGACTACATCCCTCTGTTCACAGAAGGATGCAAATCAAGCACATTTAAATACCCCGTGCTTCATTAGCATAAACATGGCCACCGCTTTTTTCCTAAACTGAGTTTTTTGGAAAAAAAAAGTCGGTCTAGCTGCAGCTTTGTTGAAAATAAATCCTTTTTTGACAGATCCTGTATTCCTCAAAAAATGAGGACTGAGAGGTATAATCTAGACACACCCTGCGTATGAAGATGAACCTCTCAATATACTTGGTCAGAATGTTTGGTAAAAGAATTGCATTTATTTTGGAAATAACATTGTTGGGACTGAATTACATTATCTAGAAGGACATTGGTGGCCATGAAAAATGGTGGACACCTTAAATAAAGGATTAGTATTATGGATTTCTCTGGGAGTGCACTATTCTTCTCTGGGAGTGCACTATTCTCTCCTACTTATTTTTTTTAAGCATATATCTCAAGCTGACATATTCTGCTGTGAAAATGGTTGTACGTGGCTCTCCCTGTGGTTTGTAAATGCTACTTCTAGGTTGGCTAAAGGAAATCATTTGTGAGCTGATCAGAGGTTATTGATGTCAAAAGATATTTAGGTACCTATCTCCTTTATGGATCTTGGCCTTCTTCTGATTATGCAGCAACCATTGTGCCACACGTAGGAGGCTGCCACCACTTGCCTCTGGATGCCTGGGCTATGCCAGCCCTACCTGCACCCTGCCTCTTTCCTTCCCTCATCTGCCCCTTTCTGAAGGCCCTCACTATCCACCACTGCCTGGTGAGTTTCTCATTGCTCCTCTCCTCCACTCCACCCTTCACTCCAGAAGTCCCTTCCATTTACTGTACCCCCTATGTTCCAACCCCTGCCCTGCGAGCCTCCCACTAATCTGAATCCTTTGTCTTCTCCACTCCTTCCCTATGAGACAAACCTCACTATTTGCTGTGTCCCGCACAAGACCACCCCCACCCACTGTTCTTCTGGTCCCTCCTCACCCATGGAGTGGGGTGGAAAAGAGGGATGTATGGAATAGCAGGCAGAGGAGAAGATAAATGCAGTGAGTAGCGGAAGGGGGCAGGGAAAAGAGGAAAAGAGAAGAGTTATATCAAATGGAAGCACAGGGTGGGGGAAAGGGAGGGTCTGAAGTAAAATGGGGGTGGAGTATGAGCAGGGCCATAGGTGGAACTCATTTACAAGAAGCACTGACCTGTTGATGGTAGAGGTGGGCTTGTAGTCAGCGTTCCAGGAGCTGTTGTAACAAAATGAAGTGACGTGTAAACTACTTTGGAGTTTTACATTAATGTAGGAATATCTCAGATAAGTGTGAGATTGCTTTTGACATCATGTTCCTCTGAGCCATTTGATGTTTTCCAGTGCCCTCTTGCTGATTCACCTATGCCGCTTGTAGCTTTTCCTCCCAATCTGTGAGCTCACCAAGGATTCCAAATCCACATTAGGCCCTTTCCCATCTCTCTCTCTCTACCTCAAGCACACAAGTTCCTCAATCCCTATTCTTTGTCCCCTTCCAGAAGGATTTTGTAGAGAAAGCATGTCTTTATCTTTGACTGTCAAGGGGGACATATTTCTAGTAGCAATCTTGAGTCACATGTCACTATTTATATCACAGAACTCCTTGAGGTCCCTTGGTCTCATAAGACAATACTTAGAATTTAGACCAGTTAAATGAGCTGAAATTAAAATGTGGTGTGGCAGCAAGTTTTCAAATTACTTTCTATCACTATAGAAGCTGTGGAACTATGGGCAAATCACTTCATCTCTGTGCCTGAGTTTCCTCATCTGTAAAATGGAGATGATGAGACTTTTCCTGGCACGGTATATTAAGATTCAGAATATTAAAGGGTGTATCTTGACTATGCTATACTTTTGAAAGAGGATATGCAAATTCTATGGGAATGTGCATATTTTCTTTCCAGCTCACTTTTGAAAGCAGCACTTTCAAAAGGAAAGTAATTAAGATGCGGTTTTGATGGCGAACCCTCCCGTTTGTCGATAAGACCGCTCCCACCCATTGTTCTTCTGGTCCCTCCTCACTTACGGAGTGGGGTGGAATAGAGGGATGCATGGAGTAGCAGGCAGAGGAGAAGATAAATGCAGTGAGTAGTGGAAGGGGGCAGGGAAAAGAGAGATATATCAAATGGAAGCACAGGACGGGGGAAGCAGAGGGCCTGAATTAAAATGGGGGTGGAGTATGAGCAGGGCCATAGGTGGAACTCATTTACAAGAAGCACTGACCTGTTGATGGTAGAGGTTAGTAGGCACATCTCCTGTAATGGAATTTTCATGGATGGACCAATATGCCTTCTCATATCCCACTGCAGAATTGACTGCCAAAGTCTGCAATTAACTTATATGCAAGGTTTTAAAACAAGGACATAATTTTCATCGTTACCTGTGACTTCTATGCTGTTTACATCAATATTAATAGTCTTCAAAAGGCTAGTTTTGTTTGCTTCAATACCTAAAACCAGTTCATTCTTCGCTTTCTCGTTAGAGACCCACTGTGCAAAGTTTAGGCGGAATACTACAATAATGCTGCCATTTCTGCCAAACAAAAATATCACACACACACATAAAGGTTAATCACACAAAATGCCAAGTGAATAAAATAGCAGACACATTTTTAAAAATCAAGAGTAGATATTTTTTTCTAAATGATATGCTGTAGTTCAAACAAGAATTATTTTGGTGAATTTCTGTTGCCTGTGTTTTCATAGGAGATCAGGCTAAATTATAACAGTGGTCCCTTCTGGCTTGAAAATATATACATCTAAGGGCTCGTCTACACTGGCCCCTTTTCCGGAAGGGGCATGTTAATTTCAGAGATCGCAATAGGGAAATCCGCGGGGGATTTAAATATCCCCCGCGGCATTTAAATAAAAATGTCCGCCGCTTTTTTCCGGCTTTTAGAAAAGCCGGAAAAGAGCGTCTACACTGGCCCCGATCCTCCGGAAAAAGCGCCCTTTTCTGGAGGATCTTATTCCTACTTCGAAGTCCTCCGGAAAAGGGCGCTTTTTCCGGAGGATCGGGGCCAGTGTAGACGCTCTTTTCCGGCTTTTCTAAAAGCCGGAAAAAAGCGGCGGACATTTTTATTTAAATGCCGCGGGGGATATTTAAATCCCCCGCGGATTTCCCTATTGCGATCTCTGAAATTAACATGCCCCTTCCGGAAAAGGGGCCAGTGTAGACGTAGCCCTAGAGAGGACCTCATTCTAATCATAGCCTCCATCCAGCACACTCAAACTGACAGGGTATAGGCAACTAGAGACTTGGTGTAGGAGGTGAATTTATAAATTGCTAAACATCCTAGAAACTTAAGGCCTGACCATCCTTTCACTTACATCAGTGTAAATCAAAGCCAACTCCATTTATGCCAAAGGAGTCAATGGTGTTACACTGGTGTAAATGAAAGGAGAATCGGGACCTTGTGTTTAGCTAAAATCATAGGGTATATTTACACTACAGAGAAGATCAAAGCTACTGCTGTTGATCTTCCAAGGTTCGAATTAGTAGGTCTAGTGAAGACACACTAATTCGAACTGAGAGGGGTATTCTGGTCAATGCTGGTAACCCTGCTTCCAGGAGGAGGAAGGGAAGCTGAAGGAATAGTGTTCTCCCTTCTACTTCCTGCAGTGTAGATAAATCCAAAAGTCAAGTTAAGGTACTTTGACTTCAGTTATGCAATGTTCTGCACCACCTGTGTCTTTCTGCTGCAGAGAATGGGCTTTAACTATTGTGTTGGTATGGCATAGTATAACGTACTGCTGTACTCACAGTAGTGTCTCTTCCCCAGGTGAGTGCTCTAATCATCAAGGGTACATCTACATAGCAGGGCTTAAATTGAAATAGCTTATTTCGAAACTGGGAGCATCTACACAGCACTTATTTTGAATTAGAGCACTCTTCCTCCGACTCTCCTCACTCCTCGTACAATGAGCGTTACAGGAGTTGGACTCAGAAGTCCTCCAACTTGACAGTATTTCAACATTATTTCAAAATAACTCCCTGCTGTGTAGATGTGGACTAACTTATTTTGAAATAATGCTGTGTAGACATACCCCTACGTGTAGAGTTGCTCACTCTCTCTTTGCCCCAATGAACATTTCATCGTGAATACAGAAAGGCACAGCTTAAACAGGCAAAACTGAAGGGATAACAAGATGGTTAAGGTATTCACCGGTGAAAAGACCTGGGCTCAGGTTCCTGCTCCAGAGTTGGGAAGTAAACCCAGGTTTCTCACATTTCAGGTAAGTGCCTGGGTATAAAGATGGATAATACCCTATATCCTCCACTGGTTTGTGAATGTGGTTAAGCTCCTTACATGGCCTTTGCTTTTATTAAGGAACATATAAAGTTGTCTGGAATTGAAAAAAGAAACCCTATTTAGCTTAACCTGCAACAATATTTTCTGACTTTTGTTTTGATTCACCAAAAATTGTCCTAAAATTCAGTTTTGAGTCAGCCCCAAAGCACACACAGTCCTGATTTTTCAGAACTGCTATCAGATTGAAAGATATTTTCCTAGCTCTGCTAGTAAGGTCTATATTTATAGCAAAATCTCAGTTGATTGAATGTTTAATTTTGCTTACTGAAAAAAAGGGACATTTTCTCTCCCTTGCTGAAAAACAGCAGTGACAATCCTTGTTGCAAAGTATTTGTGCTAGCAGACTGCCACTGATTCAACAGCGCTCTTTGATATGAGGTGATTAATCCTATCACTGCAGTGAGCACAGTTTGCAATATATCAAAAGACTAATTTCTTAAATGATTCTGATAACCTCTAGCCCATGCTGAGTAAACAAAATCTTTTATTGCTATCTTTCTGACTCAGCTGAGTTCCAAGGGTGAAACAATAAACAGATTGACCAAAAGGGTAAACACTTTTTTTTATGAAAAGAGAGAACTAGAAAATGATTGCTGAATGAAAGTAATATTTTAAGTATTTTCACAGTGGACGGGAACAGAGATTATTCCAAAGAAATAGGGGCCTAATACAAAGTCCTTTGAAGTCAATGGAAAGACTCCCTGTGACTCTACAGAAGTTTAGCTCCTGCTTTAGCTGGAGAAAACTAAGAGAAAAAGGCTAGAGATCACAAGTGAACAAGAATGGATGGAGGGGGACGGGGGAGATAAAAGGGGAGCGGAGAAGGGGGAAGGAGGCGGGAGGTGAAGGAGAAGCCTCAACTTCAGGAAAATCATAGCGTACATCTACTCTGTTGCCAGGGATGTGATTTCTGGCTTGGGTAAATGTACCCGTATTATCTCTGATTGATCCAGAATGTGAAAAATATTTTTGGGCTCACAGTGACCCAAAAAATAATCCTGCCTAATTCCTTTGGATATGTGCTTGACATTGCTCATGTCATGGGTGCTGTATATTCACAGCAACATCACAAGATTGATCAGAGCTGGGTGAATATGCCTGTCTAACCTGGAACACCTGGAAATTGTTCCCCTGTTGCAGGGTAGATCAGATCTAAGATGCATCTCCTCCTGCATGTTGTTAAGTGAAAAAGCGCTTTACAAATAAAAGCAAACAGCTCTTTACAAATATATGACCACCCCTACTCTTTTAAATAAACATCAATAGCGATTTTCTCTTCTTCCCTCCCATTTTAGTCTCTTACAGTTCTGTTAAAAAGAATGAAAAGGCATTGGGTTTCCCTGTATTTTCTCTTTTCTCTTCTGAAAGCTCCATTCTCTGCAGTCATTTATGCCAATATAGAATGGGTTTACAATGCTTCTAGATCAGAAAACCACTGTTTTACACCCCCTTTGCAATGGAGTCACAGAGAAGCAGATGCTTTATTTATTTATTTATTTATTTATTTTGAATGAATTTGTGCAGGAAAGCATTGTTAGTAATTAAATGCTCCTCTGTCTCATACAACCCCCTGAATGTATGGTACCCCTACAAATATTGCACAAATATTTCTGCTTCTATCATACTGAGGTCTCCTGGCATTGGGTACAAGTTAACATTGTCTGATGACCTGATTGAGAAGCTTTTTTGAACTTGTCTTAATGTTGTTTAGTGAATAGATATGGCCCAGAGCATATGCTCTGTTGTGTCAAGGCTTTATGAAAACATGAACAGATGGGTCTGAACTTGAGTTTGGTTAGGATTGTGGCATGAGGGGTATTGGAAAATAAAACTAACCATTCTATAGTGAAACAGAATATATTCTACATGCTTTATATTGTACTAAATACACTAGATATGGGTCTGTCTGCACTGTAACAGTAGCCTGATCTCTATCACCAAGAAGAGCTGATCCTAAAATGTTGTACATTTATGTAGCTGAGCTATTGCTGCTAGGTCAGTATAAACCAGCTAAGGATCTGTCCCTCAGTCTTAAACCTGTCTCTGGTTCTCTCAGGCTCCACAGTCTGGGAGTACTGTGGATGAAGCATACTCAGTAGAGCTTGGGAAAAAAAGACAATTTTTCTTCAAAATTGTTTCATATTTGTAAAATTATTTTTCATTCACATTTAGACATTTTCTGGCCTTAGAAGAGAAGCACTGTATATTGATTGAGGCCAGGGAGCTCTGCTGGGGCCAGAACTTCCCGCTATGCTGTCCATCCACCTCTTTCTTCCCCCACTCTGGGCTCCTGGCTGAGTCCCAGGGCCCCTTATGGCACTCCTACCCCTCCACCAGTTGTCCCTCTTCCTGTGCTCTGTGATCCAGGAACATATGGCCCAGGCTTGGCATAGCTTTAATTGGTTCTGAGAAGCAGCTGTATCCAGAGGGACATAACTATACTGTGCTTTCTGCAGTAGTGTTCATCAAAGGGAAGGAGAGAGATGGAAGGTCCCAATAGACCACTTGAGAGACAGAATCATTGTTGATATTCATAATCTAATGAGGATTTTAAAATTTAAAAATTATGAACTACAGTATATACCCACTTGAACAGCAAAACTTCAGAGTTCTTATATTCATTCTTCAGCTGACTTGCTTGATAGATTTCAGTTATCTGTAGAAAAATATATATAAAAAAATTCTGAACAGTGGTTGGAAATATACACAATTGCACCTAACAGTTGTGATTTCAACACTGCTTTCCCCCTGAGATCTAGACTTGGGAAGTCCACAGGTTTCTATGATACTTGGCCAATATGCATGTAAATATTTTGAGTTTTGATTGAACTCAGAAACAATAACCTCTGTCACAGATGAAAGGGAAAAAAAGGCACCAATCACAGAGATGGCCAAAGTTTGGGATTTCCAGTTTGTGGGAAATATTGATATTTTGAAATTTGGTTTAATTCTGATTGAGAACAAAACCAAGGTTTTTTTTTCTGAACTCCCTGCACATTGGGGGTCCAATGCAACCATAGGCGGTTTTTGTGTCAAAATGAAATATGTTGCTAGAAGTGACTGAATGTGATGTTTTGTCAGTTTCAAGTTAAATGGACAAGAATCATGCCAATTGGCATTGAGGAGAGGGACCAAGGGATCCCAGTGTTCTTGGCCAGCTGTATTCCCTGGCCAATTTCTGATGGAACCGGCTTGGATTTGATGAATCTGCAGGAAATTCCCAACCTGTTATAACTGATATTGGGTGAATTTTGGAAATTAATACAGTTAATGATGTATTTGTTATAGCCTCTTGTATTAACCATACATGTATAGACTCTTACCAATTGCTGAATATCGAAGGCAAGGGCCTTGAAGTCAGCTGATGAGTTGTCTTCCAAACTAGGGCTGAATGATGCTCCTGACAGTATTTTAAATGTTCCTGTGGCTGCATGACTGTTTTCATTTACTTCAGTTGGAATAGTTAAAGAAAAACAAAAGAGCGGAAATATTGATTTATGCAGTAATGTAAGCAACAGTTTGCATTTGACTTTCCCAGTAAAGGACATAATACAAAAATTGCTACTCTCGTTTCACTTTCAATTCAGAACTTTTCTTTGCATTGCCCTAGTTTCAAAAGAAAGTCAGATTCTTTTCAGCTGCTTAAAGACACAATTTCACAATGCTATCATGTTTAAATCCATACTTTTTTTCCCCATCATCCTATTACTTTCAATTATATCTTCAGTTCAGAGCTTTCCAGAACCACTATATTACCTGCTGAAAGAGGCAATGACTGGTCAGCTTCCTCCAGTTAGAGCAACTGACAGATACTAGTGAAGCATGGTGGGCAATAATCTGTTAAAAGTTTGTCAGTTCTTGGACTATAAGCATCAAGACCTCACACTGTTGCCTTTCTACAATTAAAAGCTCTGTGAATTTCTAAAGGAACACACAACCTTTTGAGAGGCATCTTTGAAAATACTGCTTTCACTGAAGTAATTATTATACAGTCTTTTCTACCAGAATGTATATGCTTGTGTGGGTGAGCTTCAAAAAAGTTCAAACAGGAACTAATTCAGTGAAAATCCTATGGCCTGTGGTATGATGAATATCAGATTAGAAGATCGTAGTGGTCCTTTGTGGTCTTATAATCTATGAAGAAAATTATATGAAAGTAGGTAACAAGGGCTAGATCCAGAAAAGGAGATAGACACCTCACTGGCACTATACCCCCCAAGTCCAACGTTTAGGTACCACTGAGGTGGTCAAGCCTTCTGTCTAGCTGCTGCCTAACTGTTTAGGCATCTAAAGTCTCTAGAGCAGCTAAATTTTAACTGTTTAAGTGCCTAAAAATCTGCTGGTGAGCATGCACACAGATGCTTATCTGACATGTAAGTCCTAGCAGGATCTTCAGACTAGATGTTTCCCCACCTATCTCATCTGCAATGCAATCTGGTGCAGGTTGTACCCCCCTTTAACTGGGACTCCCTGGTCTGGCAACATTCATGGTCTGGCAAGAGGGAGGTCTGGCGGAGAGGCAAGAGCACCATAAGGGGCACCAGTGACTCAGCCTGGAGCCCAGAGTGGTGCAGGGAAAGGGTGGATGGACGGTATGGTGGAGAGTTCTGGCCACAGCAGAGCTCCCTGGCCCCAGCAGCTCGGGGCTCTAGCCTGGATGTGACCATGGACCGTAGCCCCAGCCAGAGAGCTCTGATCACAGTGGCAGCTAGGGAGCTCTGCTTCAGCTGCGCACCTCTGGCCATGGCGCTCCTGTCCCAGCAGCATTAGGGCCAGGGAAAACCTTGGGGGCTGGGGAGCAGCAGGGACAGGCTGGAGCTCTAGCCCAATAGCAGCCTGGATACAAGGGTGGGACCTTCCCTGGTCCAGCAAATCCCCTCATTCAGGACAAGACATGTCCCAAGGATGCTGGACCAGTGAGGTCCAACCTGTAGTACCAAAAAATGTTCATGGCCATATGCCCCTTATAAAGATTTTGCAAAAAAGTATTTTAAAAAGAAACACAAACATTAACTTGATTTATTTCTATATTTTCTCTTAGAAAACTCATTGAAATCTCTGTGACATTTTGTTATTTCAGTGAAACTACATTTCCCTATGGAAAACTTATTAAAATAAACTAGCACTGATGGTGACTGTAATCTACTTTGACTATTAAGGACTTGACTATGCGAAATGCTGAGTACTCCTACTACCAGTTGAGTGTCTTCACATCTGACTATCCCCAGTGTTGGGCAATAAAGGCACCATGAAGGATGGCCCTGGAAATCAAAATGATCACATAAATGACTACTATTATATGTCTCTGAAAAAATATGATCCCAAGAGGTGGCAAGCGCTTGCAAGATACATGGAAGTCAATAGATGCTCAGTACTACACAGGATCAAACCAGAAGCTTGTGACACAGTATTCCAAGTAAGGACATTTACAAAAATAATGCAGCTTACTTTAATTGAAAAACAAACATAAAACAAGCAGCATAGCTTTTAATTTTTCTCTTGACAGATCTGATCAAATATCATTATCTTTACTATTTAAAGTCCAGGGTCCTGACCCAAATCGCACTGAAGTCAATAAGAGTCGTTTCATCAACCTCAGTGAACTTTGGATCAGGCTTGAAATGCTTCAGTTTTTATGTATCTCATTTGTTCTGATTGTCAGTGGGAAAAATAGTAATGCATCTTTTTAAAGCAGCAGTGGTAACAGCAAAGCATAAAAAGTAAAACATAATTACAGTGGCAACAGTTGGCTTCTAAGTCTGAACAATTACCAGGGAGCTCCTTTAAAGGTTAGATCTTGACTACTTACCTTGTTGTGACTCCTTGATTAGTAGCCATGAAAGTGTAATTAATCCAGCACAAACACACACAAAAATTGCAAGCAGAGCAGCAAGCCAGATTTCAAAGTCATTAAGAGGGATACCTCTCTTAGATAATGATTTTTTCAGATTCATTCCCAGTTAGGAAGTTTATATCAATTAAGAATTGTCACAAGAAACATAGAGAGCAGCGATCTATGTGAACAGATATTTATAGGAAAAATTTGTAAATTAATTGCACCATTAATCTTCATTTACGGTCAGTCAGTATGATGTAGTTTTGATATCATTCCTGAATGGTTACATCAATGTGCAGTTTATGCTGGTATAAACAGAACACAAGAGACTCATCATGGAAGATGATAATAGCTGAGATAAAAAATACATATGCAAACAAATACCCAAAGTTGTAAATGTTAATCAACAGCTTTGTACAATCACCTGCCATATGCCAATTTTTATTTGAAAAAAAAAAGTTAAAAATTAAGTTTATTGCAGCATAATTTACTATTTTAGGGAATAATTACCTAGAAATAAAACTGAACTTACCATTGCATCAGTAAGAAAAAAAACCAAAGTAGCAGGTTGCTCTGAGCAGTGGCAGTTGCTTGAAGGGCCCAATCCTGTTTCTGGTTGAGTTTCCCTAACTTCTCCTGAAATGAATACGAGTGAAGTGTGTTTAGCACCTCATTGCAGATACTCATTGTCTCATGAGTTTTAAGCGTTTCAATTTTTTTATGTTTATTCTAAATATTCTTTTTGCTGGACCCTTTTATTAATTTGTTGCACACAAATATTTCTGATAATATTGTCTAGGTTAATATAAATTGCTCAAAAGTACTTCTGTAGTGTGCATGAAGGCATCTAACAACCACACTAATGTTGTTAGGACATTAACTTCAAGAAGTCCTTTAAAATAGCAAGGGTACAACGATCATTTAAAACTAGATTACTAAATTACTAAAAGTTGTGTGAGCATCTAATGTTTGTTTCTAATCAGTGGTCAAATTAAAAAAGAAATACTTTGTACTGAGCTGGGAAAGGGCTTCCCATTCACTTCCTGGTCCTGCTGATGCTGGGGGGTTCCAGCTGCCACCTGGCCCAGCCACAGCTGGCCCAGCCAGGGCTCCCCTGCCCTGCATTCTCCCGACTGCCTCTGGGGCCCTTTGGTCCAGCAACATCCATGCCAGACCAGAGAGTTCCAGATTTGGGAGGTTTAATCTGTGTAAAAAACAAAGTATTAGCGCAAATCTAGCCAAGAAGTATAATGTATTGTGTGGGAAAAAATACCTGAGCACTTTCTTTGTTCGTCATCTAACAACTCTTCCATCAAAGTTGTCAAGAGTTCTGCCTGCATCAAGTTTAAGTGAATGTTGAGGGAGGAGTTATGGGGGACTAGGCATATAAATATTCACACCACTATCATTTTGCACATTTGAACAAGAAAAAAGAATAGCACCTGAAGACTTTTTTTGAATCATTAATTTTGGATTGATGCCTACACAGTAAACTAGTGGCCTCATTATATGAGAAGTAGCAGAGACTATAATAATTTACAGCTCAGTTAATTTTGTCAAGCTATGTATATGTTTAGATTTACTTATGTTTGGACCAGGACATAAACTTGCAAGTGCTCTCTTCAATTCTGATCATGATTAGTATAAAGGAACTAATTTCCTAAATATGTTATTTTCTATTCTGAAAACTAGGTAATGGTGGCAATAATGAATACGCAATCTCCAAGACTAAGTCAATAATGAATGCAATGTCAGGTTTCATAAAAGTGCATTATTATTGTTGTTGTTGTTGTTCTTATTATTGTTGTTACAACTACTACTACTACTACCAGGGCTCAACAATTAGGGCAATCTACTTACCTGTGGTGAGTAGAATTTAGCCCGGCACGGCGCCGCAGCATGATCAGCGCATGTGCAGCGTGCCAAACCGCGCGGCTGGTGAGTGGGGCTCATCACTGCTTGTCAAGCCCTGACTACTACTATATTGTTTGTAACATAAAACATTGTGATAAGGACAAATTGAGAAATAATAATAATAAGATAACCAATACTTTTTTTTCTCAGTTTTAACTAAATACCTTCAAGACTTTGGAACAGACAGATATATTTTGATATAATGTTTGCTTAGCAGTGGTATCATATCAATGAATAACTTCCTTGGTACATTGTCCACTCACATTCACCCAACTAAGAAGCTTTTGCCGACACTCTCCCATTACATTACTACTGAAAAAGCACTTAAAAAAAATCCCTCCAAGCATACATTTTTCAACATGAAAGTTCACAATTAAAATAGTGAATTAAACCCTTTTGCCTGCCAATGGAATAGTGAATGTTACAGCATCAGCTCTTCTCGCCATGAAATTTCCTGCATGATTTTAATCAAGTAAAGAGCCAAGTTAGAAAGCCCAGGGAGAGCTTAGTCAAGCACATACATTAATCTTTTAACAGAAGTTGGATGAGCACAATCTCATTGTGACACTGGCAAAGGGGGTGCCTGCATTTGCTAAGGCTTTAGGCCTCAGCCCAGCACTGGCAAATGTATTGATGGAAGCCAGTCTGTTTCACCTGCATGTTAGTATGGTCAGCATGGGCATTGATTGTATAGCAGTGTGTTTACTGATATTTTTGTTTACTAGTAATGTCAGAAAAATCATCTATGGTTGTTTAGAAACCAGAATTCTTCAGAATTTTCCTCTTCTTCCTTTGTATTTTGAATGATATTCCAAAAGTCAAAATGTTCTATTTTGAAAATGTGGCACTGCATCATTTCTAATCTTTTTTTCTCTTTGTAACAGAAATAATTAAGTGAAACCAACACAAATTAGCAATATGTTTCAGTTTATCTGAATCTGTTCTTTTAATTAAAAAACAATTTCAACTGAACAATTTCATCCAGTTTGAGTTACAAACAATATTTTTAAAAATATTGTAATTTAAAAGTGTGCAATATTTAATTGTTATATGGGCAAATATTATGCCCATCTCCATATTCAAAACCAGAGAGGAAAGGACAACTTTTTCTAAAAAAGTGACTTAGAGTTATTATATCTAAGAATTGCTTGACTGACAGCTTTTCATTATCAGTTTCACTCTCACTTGCCAAATTCTAGTTCAGGCCATTTGCAAAGAAATATATTAGAATTCAGTCCCACAAGATTGACAGTACCATCACTTTACATTATGTCAGTGTCATCTGTAGACCAAGCAAAATTTACAGTCTCTTGTCATGTATTTATTTTCCTTTTTAATCATACAACTGCATAGGGCAAAAAGGGTGCTGACACAGAAAGAGGGGAAATGCTGTGTTTAGATAATTCCTCTAATACTCATTCTATGACAAACACACCCAAAGCCTGACAATCTGTTAATCCATCGCTGG